CGCGACAACAGCGCGCCGACAACAGCGCGCCGACAGAAGCGCGCTGTAACATAACCCTAAACCTAACCTTAAGTTAAATCGCGCTTCTGTCGGCGCGCTGTTGTCGGCGCGCTGTTGTCGCGTGCTTTTGACATCGCGGTTTTAGCGCCGCGGTGTTGGCGCGCTTTTGACTTTCGCAGTTATGTCGTGCCACGGGCTGCCTCCACTTCTCTTGTTTTTCGTGCTGGGAGCGCCTAGAATTTCTGCTTAGCTGAGTACAGGGCACCATGTTTCTCCTTCATTCCTTGTGCCCTCCTTAAGCGGAGCAGAAAGCTAAAGACATCGCTATGCCTCCACAAGGGTACTCAACAGAGTCAAGGATCCTGTACAGCAAAATGTAAGTGACTCCACTCCTTGTGTGCACAAATGCACATAGGCCAACTCAAGGAGAGAGGGAGATTTGTGTTATGCTAAGAACGCGGTCGCCTTGCAAACAGGGGGCTTACGTCAGGGAGAGCTGGCACATCTGAGCTATGGCTTACTGCCCTTGAAAGGGAAAAAAAAAACCCAGGGTATAGCTTCTGTTATCTGCCTGGACAAACATAGCCAGCTCGATCACTACAGATTAAAAAGGCAGACAGTATTAAACGTTGATCAGATAAGATCGGCTTTGTTTGGCTAGCTGTCCAGAGCAAACATGTACACAGAAGGGAAAGAGCCTCATGCAGGCAAGGCAGGCAGTGACACTCTGGGTGATTTTTTCCCCCTGCTGTGTTAACTTGACTGGAAGTGAAAATCCATTCCCAGAACTCAGCAGTGCCTACATTCTTGGGCACCGAACCTTGCCAGAGGGTAGACAGCTGTTTCCCTCAGTTATTGCTTATGTGATGGGAGAGATTTAATGAGATTGTGTGCACCGAAGGATAAATACAAGCATTTTCCCTTCTTCCTGGCCCAGTAGAGGCCCTGGCGGGCTTCAAGACAATTCTACCCTCTCCTTCTAGGCATGGCTGTACCTGTCAGTTGAAGCGGTTTAATAAATCAGGGCTTCCCCTCCTCAAAAAAACGTTTGCAGGAAGAAAGGCAAAAAAAAATATGCATAGATGCTCTTCGGATGTTCTGGACAAGCAACACTGAGCATGCAAGATTCAGCTTGCTCCATTTCACTGTGTTTAATTGCTTCATAAAAAGACAGTGCTTAGCTCTGTGTGTGTGTGTGAGAGAGAGAGAGACAATTTGCAGCAACCAAGGATCTGGCAACCGTTCAAAAGCAGAATGAGCTTGAATGAGAGTGTGTGGCTGTTGGCAGCCGTGTTCCATAAATAACCTCTGATTTTATGGTCACCAGTGCTCACGGGGAAAGAGGATGCAGGTTATCTTTTGGCAAAGGGGATGTGAGCTCTGGGCTCACCCGAAACCCAAAAGCCAAGCTCCAATCTGCAGCAAGCGGGCAGATTTCCCAGAGTGACATCTTGAAGGCTTTATCTCCCTGGCTGGAATATGTCTGCACTTACCCAAAAGACACTCAGATCATCACTTAACTGCAGAGTGACATGTCATGGAGTTCTCGAATTAGCGGATGATGATGTGAGGGACAACAATAGCCAAGTTAGAAGCCTTGTTTGAAAGAAGCTTTCTTACACTGCAGCTCGGGTTTCAGCCCAGAAATCTATCAACTTTCTCTGGTGGATGCTTAAATTGGGAGAGTGAGAATGCTTCGCTGTATGCAACAGCTCGATCCCTGGGTTGGGTGAATAACAATATGGACACTTGATGGCAGGCATCAAGTGCCTTTTCCATAGGAAACCCCAATCCTTCACCAGACAGAGGCTTTGAGATTGAACTTTTATATGTGCCCTTAGATGGAAAGCCCACAGCAGGGGTATCAAACTTGATTTCATTGAGGGCTGCATCAGGGTTGTGTTTGACCTCGGGGCGGGGCAGGTGGGCATGGCTGGGATGGGCATGGCCACCTCAATGTCACATGTATTGGGAGCCCCTGTGTGGCCCGGGCAGAGCTAAGAGGATCCTCCGGCACCCCTCTGCCAGGGAAAATGGAGCTTTGTTTTTGCTGGCAGAGGGCTGCAGGAGGCCGTCGCGGCTGAAAACAGAGCCCGGGAAGGCCATGCAGGTGGGCATGGCTGGGGTGGGCATGGCCAGCTCAACATCACTTGTGTTGAGAGCCCCTGTTGTGGCCCGGGCGGGGCTGAGGGGATCCTCCGGCAGCCCTCTGCCAGGGAAAATGGAGCCAGTCCTTCACTATTTCCAGTGGGGGTTGCGCGGGCCAGGTCTAAGCACCCCACAGCCCAGATTGGGCCCGCAGGCCTTGGGTTTTACTCCCCTGGCCTAGAGTGTCAATGATAAAGTTGCATGTGTTTATGATGCTAGTTTGCTAGGTGTAAGAATACTATTATCAAGGAGGAACATTTGTTCCCTATTAAAATCCTACCCAATGTCTAAAGTGGGCACAACTCAGGCATAAACGTGCATGAAGCATTTTCATTGGGAGCTGCCCAGAGTTTGATATAAAACAGGCAGCTCTATAAATGTTTCCAACGCGTAAATAAACATGTCTGCCTAGATTTTTATCTCTCTCTTTTTTCTCTCCAAATGAATATCCTTTGGTTTGGCAGCTTAGCCCAGAGGCAAGTGCTGGAGAATGGACATAGTTGTGTCATGAACTAAGAGGAGGTGTTCTTGGGGAAAGCTTTTTTCCACAGCTAGTCAAAATTTAGAATAACAGAGTCAAAAGGGACTTTATAGGTCTTCTAGTCCAACCTCCTGCTTAGGTGTAGGAAACCCTACACCGCTTCAGACTAACGGCCAAGTCAGGCTGTCTAGAGCATGAGTGTCCAATCTTTAAGACTTGTGGACTTCAACTCCCAGAATTCCCCAGCCAGCATGAGCTCTTAAAGTCATCCAGGTTGGACACCCCTGTTTGTCCTTCACTGATAAATATGCTAGGTAAGAACTTACCACAGTCATTCGTGAAGGTAAGGTCAAGTATAGGACTTGTGAAAGAGCCCCAGTGTGGGAAGATGTATGTGGTGGTGGGACCCAGGGGCCCCTCAATCGTTGGTATGCCTCAGTTGTGACTGCTTCATTTTCTGTTTTTCCAGATGGAGTCTCCTGTGTCCACCCCTGCAGTGCTACCACTGCATCTTCTTGTCCCCGTTGTTAACAGTGATATCTCATCACCTTGTGAACAGATAATGGTACGCACTCGCTCTGTAGGGGTGAACACCTGTGATGTGGCGCTAGCTACTGAACCAGAGTGCCTGGGCCCCTGTGAACCTGGCACCAGCGTTAATCTGGAAGGCATCGTATGGCAGGAGACAGAAGACGGTAGGTGTCCTTTAGTATACTTGTTTTAGACCAGTGCTCGCCACTTGATCGATATAACGTAGTAGATCACACCACCACTGTAAGTTGCAGGCTTGCACGTGTCTATGCTTTACAATGGTTCCATGTTCTAGAGTCAAAAAGATGAATGCATTGATTTGAAGCTTCGTTTCATTCATGAATCAGTCCTTTGTTTAAAGCCTTGCATTTTCTAAAGCCATCTTTCCAAGTCATTGTTCAGCTTAAACTCTCTTAATATTTGCGCCTCTGAACGCAGTGTATACTGTTTGTAAGATGTGCAAATGTTCTAAATTGGAGAGAAACTTTTGATTTCCGTTTCAAAAATGAATGAGTGCCCTCCTTTGTTTCCTAAGCTAGAATGTCCTCTCCCACCAGCTTTTCCACTGTGTCTTCAGCAGACTCTGATCCACAAAAATGTCTTCTTAAGATACCATAAAACTCTTTTTTTTTTTTTTTGCTTTTGCTACCAGAGATTAATGCCGCTACCCCTTCAGAAACTTCTGAAGAGGTATGATTTGCCTTGGCAAGGAGCCAGGAACAATTGGGAGGTAGTCAATTATCTTTGGAGAGAGTGATACAAAAGAAGCATCTTGCGGAGATGCAAAATACATATCCTTGGCTGCTACTGATCCATTTTGATGTGATGCCAGTCAGAGTGGAATTGACAGATTCTGAGAGGTTATAATTTGGAAAGACAAAGACATGCTGACAAACGTTCTTTCCAAACTTACTTGGCCCGCACGCTTGTATCTCCAGGAGCTTCTGGGAGAAGCTGACTGATTAAAGATCCGGGGGGGGGGGGGGGGAACCATCACTCAGCTTTATCATCTCGGGTGTATTTGGATTTCCTCTGATTGTTTTCTATTTCACTCTAACTTAAAAGCATTCTAATGAGTAGGTAGACCCTGCCAGACAGTTCTTACTTTTACCATCTGATAGCTCTGTTAGAAGCTGTGTTGAGTTAAGGTGTTGAGTTAACTATTTGTTGTTAGTAGCAGTTCCAAATATTGATTCCCTGGCTGTTGATGAGAGGAAGGGCCAATCCATTGTCAAATTGGTCAGGTTTTGAACTGGTACCTGTATCCTAAAAAACCCAAGCTCCATCATCCTAGCCCAGTGGTGGCAAACCTTTTTTTTTCCTCGCGTGCCAAAAGCTCACATGCACGCACACACAGACACCCATGCTCCCCCATGCATGTGCATGCTTCCCTCTCCCCACACACACATGCGCACGCGTCCCCCGTTTTGGTGCTAGCAGGCCTCCCTGAAGCCTCCTGGGACTAAAAACGGGGCTTGGGGTGGACGCGCCAAAAACGTGTGCGCACTCCCTCACACATGCACGCACATCTCCCAGCAGAGACCCAAAATCAGCCTAACTGGCGGGAGGCACACACATGCACAGTGGAGCTGACCTGGGCGACAACTCGCGTGCCCACAGAGATGGCTCCGGGTGCCACTTGTGCCACGCGTTGCACAGGTCCGGCATCATGGCACTAGCCGAACTCCTGAAATTGTCAAGAAGGTTTGTGTGTTGATCAGGATCTGAGCACATTACACACGTTTCAGAGCAAACTACTTCAGGAGGCAGATGAAATGATAGTCCTCCTTTCCCGCCTGTTGCTATCTCTAATGCGTTTGCAGAATTACCCTTTTCTAGAACAGCTGTAATTTCAGTTCGTGCCTAGAGGTTATTCTGTGATTCCTGCAGCTTAACTATTTTTAGCCTGCACTCAAAGTAAACGTGCAGAGTTCTTGTCTGCCACATTACTCCAGCTGTGCCATGGTTCATACTGTCAGAGAAATAATGTAATCCTCACCACAAAGTCTTTGCATCCTTTGGATCGATTTTGAACTATTCAATTGCTGTATGTGTTTCCTAACTGTGTATTGGGCAAGACGTTGGCTGCCTAATTAACAATGGTACTTGGATTTCAGGTGATTTACAATTTTGCCTGATATAATAGAATAGAATTTTTTACTGGCCAAGTGTGATTAGACACACAAGGAATTTGTCTTTGGTGCATAGGCTCTGTGTACATAAAGAAAAAAAATGGAATACATTCATCAAAAATCATAAGATACAACTTAGTGATAGTCATGGGTTACTAATAAGCAATCAAAGGAAGAAACAAATAATACAATATAAATTTTAAAGGTATAAGCAACATGGTTATAGTCATAAGAGGGAAGAGATAGGTACTAGGAAGGAAGGGAACAATAATAATAATAATATAGTCTCTTGTGGGAATTAGTTGTTTAGCAGATTGATGTTTAGAAGTTTAGTACTTCTCCTATGTGATATATGATGCCAAGCCAGAAAACAGATTGCCATAATCCTTGCTCATTTATTTTTGCTGTTTGTGGCAAACAAGTCTTTTTTAGATGAGCAAACAGAAATTTTAAAAAAAATCTTCTTTCTCTACAATCCTTGAGATGCTGAGTATCATTAGTAACATCAGTGTTTGGGCAGCAAAGTGAACATGTTTAATGCAATTGTTGCATGGTTGAGCTTACTTACCCAGAGACTTACTGCATTTTTCGGAGTATAAGACGCACATTTTTCCCTCAAAAAAGAGGGTGAAAATCTGGGTGCATTTTATACACTGAATACAGCATTTTTTGCCTCCTGAAACTCCGCCCCCTTCACCAAAATGGCCATGCAGAGCCTTTAGGAGGCTTTCAGCGTGCTCCTGGGAGCTGTGGAGGGCAGAAATGAGTGAAAACGGCCTGGTTTTTGCCACCCAGCTCCCAGCAGCAGTCTATAAGCTTCCTAAAGGCTGTCCATGCCCATTTTTTTGCTTGTTTTTTGACACCCCCCCCCCCAGCAGCACTCTCAAGCTTCCTATTCACGCCCTTTGTGGGGGGGGAAACAGGCCCATTTTTGCAAAAAATGGACCGTTTTGAGGAGGTTTGCAGAGTGCAAAAACTTTTTTTCTCCCTCATGAAAACCTTGCTGCATCTTATACTCCGGTGCGTCTAATACTCTGAAAAATATGGTAGTTCACACATGACATTAGACATCACTTTCAGCACTAAAGACTACTCCATTGGTAAGTTTTGCTGAAGCCATAGTTTCCAGTATAATAATTAAACATGCTGTTCATTGGTAACTCTGGTAAATTAGAGCTCTTGCATCTGAACTGATTACAAGTCAAATTAACTAAGACATTTGTCCCCTTTTCCTTTAATTGAGTCTAAAGGACCCCCTGGTCACGCAGAAGGGCAAAGGGATGGAAATGTTTCCTAAGGGCATAAACAAGCACCGGTTCAGAGTTCTTAGTGGCTAAATTTGTCTCGTCTGAAATTATTGACCTCTGTGCAAGTTGTACCACTTGTCCTTGCGGCTCCATAGAGAGCTTTTTCCGTGGCCATCTGCTCTTTTCGCTGAGCAAACAGACTTCTAAGTACAGTACTGCTTGTTCTGCTCACCTGCCTCCTGCAGAAATGCATTATGCTGAATAACAGCAAGGATATATTGTAAAGACATTTAAGAGGGCGATCGTAGCAGTTTCCCTAATTCTGTTACGTGCAATTCTGATCTGCTGAGATCATTAATGGATTTAATTATAGCAAAACGCAGCCCCTCCAACTCACGGCCTTGCCAGCCGCCTGGTTCCCATTTCCTCTTTAATTGTGATGGATGCCATCTGGAGCGGAGCCACTAATGGAAGAGGAGGAGGAGGAGGGGGGGGGGTTTGATGGCCGCAGACTTGCTCCAGGTTGGAGGCAAACCCCTTTCAGCCACCTTCAAAACCTAAGGCTTGAAGTACCATTGCCACTCACCTGGGAAATGTCTCAGCCAATAGCAGTGAGGGCTTGCAGTTAAGATTGGGGGGGGGGGAGCCCATTGTCTGACACACAGATCTTCATAGCAACAAGGATCACTGCATGGCAACTGCAGCTGCTGCACAAAGGAGCCATCAGAAGCCTCTTCCTCCAAATCTCTCTCCTTCCCTTTTATCTGGTGGATGAGAAGCACTTTGGATTGCAATATTTCTTCTTCCCCCCCCCCCTTCTTTTTTTTTTTATTTTGTTTTGAGAGGTATACATTTTCTCTGAAAGAGGGCAGGCTGTTCTGTCAAGTCCCCAGTGGAAAGAAAAGGAGAGGGAGGCTGTTGCCATTGTAAGCTTATAGCAGGCCAGCTCTTTGAATTTCGCATAATTAAATTCTGCCCCAAGAGCTGAAACTTAGCGATGGAGCTCTGGTTGTACAAATTGCAGTCTCTGTGCCAGTTTGAAAGCATCAGTAGCCATCGTTGGAGCTACTGTCTTTTTCTCTTAAATAAAATCCATGTTCCCAAACTCCATAGCATTCAGTGGTAATAAGGCAGTGGGAAAACTTAAGATTTGTGAAAGAGAATACTTAATAAAAAGAAAGAACAACATTTCTCACACTTCTGTTTCTCTTTGTAGCGCTAAAGATCTGTGGCTATTTTAAGAAAAAAATTAAGAGGAGGAATGAATTATCCAGTCCAGTACTGAAGTTGAATAAACAATGTTCATGCAGTCAGAGCTGGACGCTGTAAAAATAATTTGAACTTTTAGGCTGGCAGTCCAGTAAGTGCAATGCACAATAAAATTGCCATGGTTGAAACAAGTGAAACCTGAACTTGAAAGAACACAAAAGAATGTGAGTTTTATGAGAGGGCAAATGTTTTTTCTTTAAATAAAGAGGAAGTAAAACCCTGTTGAACTAATATTGACAAAGTGGGATAGGTTCATTAAGACTCTTTTAATGATGCTGATTTTCATGCGCGGCCACAAGGTCACGAACAGAAGCACAGGATGAAAGGAAAAGTTTTTGAAATAAAAATGACCCCTTGAATTTTGGAGAAATTAATTCTCCTAAGAGAAGTGACTCTTTGGCAGATCATAGCTAGTAAGGTTCCCCTCGCACATACGTGCTAGTTGTTCCCGACTTTAGGGAGAGGTGCTCATCTCCGTTTCAAAGCCGAAGAGCCAGCGCTATCCGAAGACGTCTG